GAAGGGGATTAATTTATAAGTGAATAAAATGGCCTGAATATGGTCTAGTTTTTTTTTTTTTGTGTATTTGTGCGACTTTTATAGATATGCTTTGATGATTAATAAAAATCCATACCAAAATACCAAACATACACATGGTGAATAAAAGTAGTGATGTTAACAATAGCAAGGGAATATCGGACAGTAAAAGGCAATATTTTCAGGATTATTTTTTGTCATTTGTTATTCATGATAAGTATGCGCTTAACGGAATACGTATTAATAATTTAATAAACAAAGCGAGTTCAATTCTATTTGAAAGGAAGACATCACACCAAATTTGTATAGGGCAATAAAAGAGGTCCCTAACATAAGAAACTTAGATTTTAATCTAAACAAATGAAAGTTATTAAAAAGAGTAAATAATTGAAACTCTAATAATGACTTGAAAAGCGAAGATAACCACTCTAAAATAGCATATCTATATCAATAAAGCTGATCGTCCTTTTCGTCGTATCTAATGAATTGCTCTCTTCAATATTCGTTAACTGAAGCATCCTGAAAGCACCATAAATAAATAATTGAATATACATATATATCTATATGTATATACCATATATCACCCATACAGATAAAAAGATGGAACAACCTGATAAATTCTCAATGAGACCTGTATTTGTTTCTATAATTAAAAAAGGAAAATGGAGATGGGCTCGTCTTGAAAGAGTATTTGATGATCTCTCATTTTGCATCAATACACTTTTAAGACTCAAATTTAAAGCAATAGAACAAATATCTAATGAACTATCACGATGAGTAAAGTGATGGGGAGGGGGGGGGGGGGGGGAGGGGGAGAGAGGTGAAGCAAAAAAAGACGGTTATCCAAGTAAATAAGATTTTCCATCACGGTAAATACGTCCTTTGCTTGAAGAAATAAAAGAAAAAACATATAAAATAGAATAAGCGCTTAAAAAACAGAAACGATACCTTGCTCCTAGATTCCTAGACAAGGACACATGTTTCCTCTAATGTGCTCAAAGACCTCATATGTGAACTAGAGCCATTTAACATAGCGTCGAGTGTGGTTGCTCAACGCTCCACAGAGGTTTTATCGGAGATGAGTTGTATTCCGTGCGCCACGGCGGCATGCACATTGTTGTGGATGCTTTTTGCTCGCAACGCTGGAACCTACAGGAGCCACTCAAGCTGCGTTTTCGTGAAGGTTGTGTTTTCCCAGATACTAAATTGCCTGTCGTCTCAGTGAGGGAAGCTGAGCTAGTTTGAAGGCTACGTTTGGCCTCCTTTAAGATAGATTCGTTGCGAAGCTGCTTTAGCCGATAGTCCAGCTCATCTAAGGTCGGTGTGGATCGTGAAAAGTACGAAGTCGTACGCTGTCTGCAGTTTCGGTCGTCAAACGCACATATGTTGGTCCACTTTACCGGTTCTTCATAACCACACGGCATATTTGAATTTGGTAGACACTGCTGCTCTGGTGGGTTGCGGAATCCTTTCAAGTTGTTCTGCCGGTCTTCCCTACACCGACTTATTGGTGGAGTGCTCACCATCCCAGAAGCCGTACCTACCGCCCGGCATGGCGGCGCTGTTGTAGTATCTGGAAAGTAGGCCGAAACAGGTTTGCCTGAAGAACGGTAGGAAGTAGTTTGTCTAGCGGAACTCCTCAGATGGCTGACTTGAATATAGCTGAAAGGGATAATCTCTTCTAGTTCACTATCCTCTTTCGAGAACTGATGATTAGGGTAAAATACATTTTCCATTTCATCTTTGTTCCTCCTGCCCGAACGATTCTCCACTAAGATGTCGTCATCGTACGACGGCATCATCTCAGTCGTGTTCTTCTCCCTTTTTCTTGGTCCTTGCACTTGATGTGATGGTGTGACCGTTCTCGTCTCTTTTGGCTGACCCCGTTGAGACCGCAACTCCGTATTATTGAGATTATCATGTCTATAATAGTAGATGTCTTTGGATATCCCATCACCCGCTTCACTATCATCTTTATTGTCATAGTAATCTGTGCTGTGGTGAATAGAAGGCCGCTCTTTCCACGATTCTTGAAAACCACAAGCAACGCGTGGCGAGGGCTGAGACATAGTTTCTTTCGAATACTCAAACCGAATATTGGGTGCGTTTGTGGCGCCATGAGATGGATTTGACATCCGCCTTCGCGAAGAGACCACTTGCTGGATAGGGTTGAGTGACTCCTTCAGGATTGTAGGCCGGACAATGGACCCTGAGTTGCGTGACTTCGACCTTTGTGGTTGTCGTTCTGGTTTCCTCTCCGGTGCATTTGAAAGTCTGTTCCGTCCTTTCGTGCGAATCGGTCCAGACGTTTCACGGCGTGGTGGTTTGCTCCCCAGTCGTGTTCTTCCAAAGTTTAACGGGGCCAATGATGCCATCCTTAGGGCTTTGTTCGGCACGTAGTTGCGGGGTACCGGTGGCTTCGGCCGGCGTGGTTCCCCGCTGCCGTTGTACAGCGGTACGAAAAAGGCATCGAAGGTCTTGGGAACTGTTTTGGGCCCATCGGATGACTGGGTGCCTTCTAACGACCTCTCCAGAGCAGGAGTGTGTGGGCTCAAACACAAGCTTGTCTGCGTCTCGGTTGACCGACCCATTTTGTTCGCATTCGAGGGCTGATCGAAGGGATGGCTAGAGCCAACCGATGAGTCCTTTTTTGAACGGCTGCTATGCGTCTTGTTGGGAAGAATTTCCCCTTTGGTGTCATGAATCTCTGGCGAGGTAACGGCGACATTTCCCCTTTTTGAAGTAAAGGAAATAGGTTGTGGGTGATTATCGTGGTTGGGATCATCGGGTTGAGAGAGTTGCTCCGGTGGATAGGTCGCCGTGACTTGCAAACGGCGACAAACCCCTGGTACCACAGAGGAACGTAGCAATAAATCGTCCTCGGAGTTTCTCGATACCAACGATTGATTCTTAACCTTTTTGTTGTGGTGATGATTATCTTTGTAAGAATTTTCCTGGGGTAAATGATCATGGTGACCTCGACGCATTGCATGATTTCGCTGCTTCACGTCAACAGCCACCTTTTCCTCAGCACTTACATTAAGGGGTGTGTATGGCGAAATTATTATGGACCCCGAAAGTTGCGAATATGATGTTTCCGCCTCAAAGAGGTTGGACTCAGATTCATCACGTTGTGCCAAGTAACGGTGGTACCGACGATCGCTACGCTGGAGCCGCCGGGAGGCTTCTTCACGCAGCTCACGACCTTGTTTACGTGCAGCAAGAATCTCACGAACTGCTTCATGGATAGCGATACGCATAAAAAGCTTATAATCGCTTCTTTTTGTAAGTAAAGGCTGTTGATGGGGGTTAGAAAAGGAAGCCGATACAGAGTAGCTTGGCTGTTGTTGTTCCGGATGTTTACTAGATGATAATACCAACAAGTTACTCTGCCGTCGTTGTTGCTTGATGTGTAAATGTTTGTTCCTCAGCTCAACTTCTTCATCTGAAGATAGCATGTCAGGAGCGCCCTTGGTGGATGGTGGCGCCCCCATTAAAGTCATATGTTGCATCTGCGCCGGCATGGAATGTTTTATTGGAGTGCAACTTATTGGTGTAGCATTAGTCGTGGACGTGCTGCTAATAGAGTTGAATTCACGGATATTTTCACGCGCCTGAAGTACATGAGCATGAGCCTCGCGTATTTCAGCCGATCGCTCCTCCTGTCGCTTCCGAAGCTCCTCCATTCGGGCATTAAGCTCTTCTGCCGCTTGTTGTGCTTCTTCTTTGGTCTTACGAATCGCAACATTCATTCGATACTCAAGCTGTAGCAACTTCTTTTTGGCCTCTCGACGTTCATCTTCATGCTTCGCAACACGTAAGAAATGCTTAGTTTGTTGTCTTTCCACGTGCTCTACCTCACGTTTGCGGGCCTGGCGTTGAATATTGGAAGCATGGGCAGCAGCCTGCAAATCGGCCTCCTCACGAGCCATTCGGATTTCCTCCAATGCTCGATTCTGTGACTCTTCCAAAGTCCGCTCTGCAGCTTGCAACTTCGCTTCTAACATCAGACGGTTCTCCTCCTCACGAACTTTCTGTAAAGTAGATTCATATTCGGCGCTATGAGAATTTAAGTTCCCTGAATTTTGAAGTTGTAGGGGCATGTTGATAGTCATTTCGTCACGCAGGCGACGGATACGATCTTCAGCAGCGCGCTCAACATCTTCCAGGATAGTTTTAGCTTTCTCTTCCACAACTTGGCGATCAGCCTCAGCCCTAGCACGAATACGGGCCTCCTCCTGCAGACGTTTCTCCGCTTCACATAGGCGCATATTGGCCTCTAGAACTCTCTCCTCAGACTCTTTAAGACGTTTTATTAAATCCGCGTCAGCCAAGGGTGCGCTGTTCAACCCTGTCAAATCAGGCACGTGTCCTGGGCCAAAGTTCCGTGCTGCAACGGGTCCAAAGAGCATTGCAGGTGCTAGACTGTCATGACTGGCGCTTGTTTCTGTCGGCAATATAACAGGTGCGTGAATGGTACTGGATGCAAGTGCGTATAATTGTCGACGCTCACGCCGCTCGCTTTCTCGCAAATCGAACCTCTCGTCGTTCTCATCGCGGTATAGTTCCTCTGTCTGCATAGCCATGCGGTGTGTCTGCTGTTCACGTTCACGCGCCTCCTCAAGCTCAGATGTACGACGATTAATGACGTCACGAACACGCGTCGGAGAGAGCTCCCGTTCGGTTGCCAATAGTTCTCTCGCACGAGCCTCCTGGGCGATAACCTGTAGTCGCTCAACGGGTTCCTCGTGTAGGACCATCTTCTCCAGAAGTTCCGCAAACCGCCTCGCATCCTTTTCGGCTCGCAGGCGGTCGCGATCCCTCTGCAAGCGCTCCGCTTTGTGTGTAGTTGCCATAACGCGACTGCTGCGCTCGTCCACAACCAAACAGCCACGTCCCCCAGTTTCAGCTTCCTCTACCGCGCTGCGGCCATCCCGCTCAAGCCTGGAAAGCTTCTCCCATTGGGCTCGGTGTGTGACCTGCAGGGTATGCTGGGTTAAAGACTCCTCAATCTGGCGCCGGGCATCTGCATACTGGGAACGCACCGTTCTCTCTGTACGCACGATGGCCTCTCTCTCGATAAGCTCCTGTTGTCCAGTAAGCGTCACTTGTCGGTCGATGTATTGCTTTTCCAATTCTGCCTGTTTAACTTCTGCCTTTAGTTTAGAAGAACTTTTTCGTGTGCCTTTATGTGAGTGTCTGCTTGTGTGACCCTCGATGCTACTTAAGCTGCGAGAGCGTTTGCTGTTGCTCCTTGGTCTACTTTGGCTTCTGGCTTCTGTAGGCTCTAAGGCAACATGTGGTTGGATTTTATCGGTTGAAGAGGGCCCCATTTCTTGACGTGTTTTTATGCTACGGTCGCTGTTCCTTCCTTCCGAGCGGCGCAGTGACTCGTCATCGGACATATCGCTCACTTGATCTGAGAAGTCGACAAAGGGTATACCTGGTGTGCGGGGACTAATATCAAACTCTTCCTCTAATCCACGCCTGGCGTACAAGTCAATCCATTGTTCCTCATGTGCTGTTTCAAGCCCAGTGAAACGATGTTTTTGGGTCAACTCTATCACATTACGGCCTTCTATTTCTCCGCATATGATGGCTTCAAACTGAGCGTCATATTCACGCTGAAGTGATTCTTCATCTTCTTTTTCTACTTGTCGACGTTGTTGGGCATCGATCTCTGGATTTGTAATCTCAGCTTTCAGACTTACTTTTTCCAGAATTATCTCCTCTACCTCACTTACTTTTTCATTTTGTATTGTTTCATCGGATTGCGAATCAGTTATACTTTTCAAAGGAATGGTCTCAGAATCAGAAGCAAATGTCACGATTCCTTCTTGGAGAGCGTTTTCAATAGGATCCTTAGTGTCACCCTGTTGCATCGCCATGGCTGTCGAATAGATGGAATCACGATCTTTAGTTACGGTCCTAGATACCGTTTCAGACGATAAAGCTTGCGTTTGCTGATCATCCTCTTCAATCGTGTGTATTTTCAACAGTGATAACAGCTTGGGTGGCACGGATTGTTTTGGTGGAGCATCGAACATTTTCTTTGGCAGCTGTGGGACCGGTTCCGAGTGAGAGCGCCTCTTCGACTGCTTTTGTGCTGCACCAGCGATGTTGTACAAGTTGATAGACTTTTCCGCCACCAATCCATTAGAATGTTGATTCTCGCGAAGCTTCTGCCGGGAACGTAATAGGTTGGGATCAACTGGGAGAGACTCAACTGCATCTTGTGTTAATAAAGGAGCCTCCCGGGTTTCCTTCACGGCAGACGCGTCGTCTAATTTGGTGGTTGACGCAGTTATATTCGTCTGGAACTGAACCGAGCTCGAACGCTTCGTTGTGGAAAGTTTCTTCATCGCACTCCGTGGCACCCCCTTCGAACCGGAGGCCCTAGAGAGAATGGATGAAACCCCATCGTCGAGTGGGACGCGCGACTCGGTATCGCCGTGGTTGTTTCGCCCACGCCCGGGGGCCCCCGAGGCCGTTCGCTTTCGCCCGCTCTGCGCCAGTCGTGACATGCAATGACACTTCGGGCAGGTGATGAATCGGCCTGCGTTGTCGCAGTTCACCAACGCGCACGGCTGGCACGCGTAGTGGCGACAGTCCACAAGTGAAAAGAAGGCAAAAACCGGCGCGCGGGGGTCCGAGGGCAGCGGGACAGCCCGCCGCTTGCAGAAGACGCAGGTGCTCTTGTCCATAGAGGAGACCCCGGCCGCCGTGCCGAGAAGCTTGGTCGACAAGAGGGAGATGTTCTCTGAGTGTAAGCCTGCCATGGCGTTTCAGGTGCGTTACTAAAAGGCGACGAGGAAAAGTCAAGGCTTCTTTCCACCACAGTGTATCCACTTACTGTTTTTAAGGATGGGTATTCGAAACCAAAGGGGAAGCAAAAATTGGTTCTCTACTCCAATTATGAAAAATATTAATTTCGCTATATTAGCGTACGATAGATGATGATACACCTATAGCTTCTACGAATTCTATTTGTGACCTTTTATTTCCGGAAAGATATTCGCTTAAAAATAGCATAAATGACAGATATATAGAAAAAAAGATATTGACAAGTATATCTAAACGATTTCTTGAAAAAAAAGCAGTCAAATTAAGCCCAGAATAATGCGTCAATCTTTTTTGTTGCCACTTTAAGAGTTGACCATTCATCGGGCATAACATACTGCACATACAGAATTCAAATTACAAGTCTCGCTCTCGTACAATTTCTACAAGTAGTGCACAATATGTGGAAAAAATGTTTTTTTCCCTTATGATAAAACTATGAAACATTACCCAAGCCGTTAAGGATTGCGTAATGAATGACAACAAATAAATCCTATAAAAAATACATGTTAGTGCATTTCTTTATTTTAGTTTTTACAAATTTACATGCAAACGTGGGGGTAGAAGACACAAATACACCGTGACTTGACTTTCCCTATTTTGAATTCATTTGCGTATACATAACTAATATGCCAATACTTATTGGAGCAAATGGAGATGAAATATCATCATTATTCTTTTGGAATTTCTAGCATTTAGATCAGAAAAGTTGCTAGAGCACACTATTGCTTAATATATATATCTACATAGATCGATGAATTGATATTAATCTTGAAAATTATTATCATGTCGCACTTCATAAGAAAAATTCTATACTTACAATTGTGCGTTTCTTATCTCTGACCCTTTTTTTCAACCGATCTTTTAGATACCCGCAACTTGTTACCGACTTTTATGATGTGAATCCCTTTTTGTTTTTAGTTTGCGCGCCGCCGCGACGGCGTCTCCCACCGTATCGATATCATAGTTGGGACATATAGCCAACTCCACATCCTTTTTAATTCGTTCAACGCCCAAGCAACGATCAAGCTCGCGCAGAAGTAGACCCATAAGCCGCTGCTGCTCCGCAACGGTAACACCCCCTTTCGGGGCTATCGACCCCACGGTGCTGCCATCCCCGTCAGCCGATGCGGTGGTGGGAGGCGGATGTCGTCCCGCCGCCGTGCGTCCGCGGCTGAGCTTTGTCCGCTCGTTTGCAGTCCACAAGTCCAGCGCGGCGGCCACATCGGCCCCTGCATGCGGGGAAAAGGGCGGGGGTTGCACCGTCGCCGAAACGACCTGTCCTCCTCCTCCCTCCCCAACAGCGCGGCGGGACTTCTCCCGCGAGGTCAAAGGCCGCAGAAGGACGCTCTGATACTGCTGTGAAGGAGTGCCAAAGGACGAGCTAGAGTGGCCCCGCTGCTCGTCGGCCTCACGGGGGCTTGCCGGGGCGGCTGTCGTAGCCCTCCTGATGGCCCCAGAGGCCATGGCCAGCTGCATGGGGGTCAGCGCAATCAGCAATGAGGCCCCCTCCACGGGGCCTCGCTCCGGCTTGTGTAACAGGCTCTTCCCCTCCTCAGCGGTAGACAGGAGCATCAGGTTACGATAAACCGACTGTATTTTTGAGAAAAATATATTGGAGGATGTGGCTTTGGGCTTCCGCTTAGAGCCAGGTCTTTGGGGGCTGCTCAGGACGTTCGCAAACGATGAATGCACAAGCTGGAGGGATAAAGGATACACTATAAATGAGTGCTTTTCCAATGAATTGAGGAAGTCTGGTAAGATGCATGAAGCGTGCTTAGAATTTTCATTGGAGTGAAATTGAATGCTACCTGCCTTGGGATTGGTGGTGGTTGAGACTGTCGCTCTTCTTTCATAAAGCTGGCTATACCTTTTACTCATTTTGCGCCCAACTGATATTCGTCTTTTCGATTCCATGGAGTCAGTCATCTCGCCAATCTCGTTGTTTTCACAACCATTTAACGCTGAATTGGAAACGGAGGTCTTTAGCTTCAAATACGATTCCATACCAGATAGCGGTGGAAGGAAGTAAAGTATCCTATTGATGGGTGGGGGCTGTGCCACATCATGGCCTGCCGCGTTTGTTGTCACCTTTGATTCACCAATAACAACTTTTGAAGAATGCATACTGTTTAAAGATTTTTCTATTGCATTGCAATCTCCCATATTACTATCAAAAGCACGCTTTCTAAGGGCACAGTACTCTCGAACGAGCTCATCATCACCTGAGCATAAACCAATGTGCAGTAGACTCACATTATCGCTTGGAATAATTAATTTCATGAAATCATTAGTTAGACGCTGCGACGCAAGCAAGGAGCGAAGAAGCGTGGAATCTGATACCTCTGTTTGTGCACGTGTCACACTCAAGGATGCGGCCCGGGTGGTGTTCCCCCCTGATGCATTTTTGTTGAACCGAGAATATTGCCTAGACGTCTCCATCACAGAAGAGTTACTGCCCTGCATGTCATTGGTAAGGTCATTGAAAATCTCCGAACTGGGATTATCATGGTACGACAAGAGATCCTCTGAAATCAAAACAAGACGAGGAATGGGGAAGAAATCCCCTTTACGTTCCTCTCGGATAAGATATGCCATTTTACATTCCCTGCTCACATCCGAGCCGTAGGAAGTGTGGGACACCTCAGCAAAGTTCGCTCTGCGGCCCTTTCCCTCGCTATGGGTGTAATCACCGGTGTCAATGCGAGGGATCGTACTCGAGGTGTTGAACCCCAGACATTGTGAGAATCGCTGTGGGTGAAGGTGATAGGTCGGCGGCACACATCCGTAGCTGTACAGAAGATAAACCATACCAGGATTATGGGCGTAGTCGATTGGGGTGAGCCCGTGCGCATTACGGCGGAGCATTGCTTGCAGGAAATGGACGGGCAGTGGCACTTTACCATGTGCCCCTTTTCGTACCACACTGACTCCTTTGATGGATTCGACCTCTCGAAAGAGGGCCAGTACACAGTTGCGATATGCTGGTGGAAGTGGTGAATCTAGACCGCTCCGGACGAAGTAGTACAGACAGTATGCGAGGTAGAACTCCGCTAGCTCGCATTGATTGTTAATGACAAGAATGTGCAAAAGAGTGTCGCCGTGTGCTGGACTTTGATAATGAATAGTTAGCGGTTGCCCTTTACGTGTGTGCTGGCCATAGGAATGGCACCACCACCCATCGGACTGCTCGTTCGACGCTGACGAAGAGAACCACGTACCCTTCAGGAAAAGCTGGAGGACTGATAAACTCAGCGGTGCGCGTCGGTTTAGAAAAAATTCTAGAACATCCAGAGTCACTAGGGACGGGTAAGGGGAGTGCAACACTAAAGAGCTGTGTAAGCACCAGTCGCCTATGAGATACATAAACCACTTCGGTGTGTGATTCGGTGTGATCAAATGAGACGCTTGTTGGGATTGTAATTGATCAGGGTGGCCTGGTAGGTCTATATGTTGCAGTGCGTTTCCTCCCTTTTGTTGCGAAGGTGGTACCAGTTGGTTGGTTGGCATCATGGAAGATCGTTGGAATTCCTCGTCAACGGAGCACGGCGGCGCGGAAAGGTCTAAAAGAGAAGCTGCTACCGATGCAAAGCCTTTAGATTGACCTGATCCGTACTCCAACATCTTTGCAGTGGTGCCGGTCCCCCACATCACAGCCATCACCTGATGTCGTTTAGCGAAGTCCGCTTTGAGTTCAAAATTGCTAACCCACCGACTGCTGTTATAGGCATCGTCGTCATCTGGTAGTTCCCCACCAGGTATGCCGCTACGTGCACCCTTAAAAGATGTGCTATCAGGTCTACTGGAATACCCTGAAATTGATATGCATTGAGAGATTGCCGGTGGGGGTGAGTCTTTTGAAGGAAAAGTATTCATAGTGATCCCTTCCTTTGAAACGCCGGAGGCGCTACCAGTGGAATTTTCACCTAAGATTCGGTGGGGGGTAGATTGCTTTAATATGAATGAGGTGTTACTCAATATATCGGAACGATGTGGTGGCTCCACTGTCTTCGGGGAGGTATTTAAAGTCGAAACTGTGATCGGGAAAGTGGCATTTGCGCCTACCCGTGGGCTAGTTTCCATTAATTTGCTCGGGCTCGGCGGAATTCCCTCAGGGAGACCGGTCAACATATCGATACGGTCGTACCGCAAAGGCGATATATACTGTCGGAACACTGCAACACACTTGTCTTCTTCTACATCTTCTTTTTCATGACAGTCATATAAATACTGTAAGAGGTTTATACTCCCGGCAGCGGCTGCCAGTATATCAATGTGCTTATCCTCTATAATATCACGCCAAAGTGCAGCTTGAAGCTTGTCTAGGACATTATTTAGTTGATAGGTGCTGTGTATAGTCGCAAGCGAGGGGCAGTAGGCTGAGGCTGCGGTCAGTGACTCGATAAACCAAGGTTCAGAAAATAGTGAACGAGGGACACTTGTTGAAGCGCCGTCATTACCGTGTCTGCCTTGTCTAGATCCTACTTGGGACTGATCCTGTGTCCGTTGTTTTGACAGCATTTTCTTAGTTTGCTGTGGAATACGCAGCCGTACGAGGTCCAGAAAGACATCTACATTGTCGTAGCGGACAGCCAGCTCCGCAACATCCCCAAGCAACGTGTTCGCCCAACCGCAGGCGGAGACGTTTTCGACATTTCCACCCACTCCAGACTGCTGACCAAAGGAGATTCCTCCCTTGGCGGATTCGTTTCTCTGCAGAGAAGGTGCCTGAGGAGCAAGGTCGCGCGCGTTAGCCCGTAAACCTTTCTTTGGGCTGTTCTGGGCCTGTGGAGCGGTACTCGAGTGCGAAGTCGGATCTTTTTCATAAGAATGATAATGAGTCTTGGAGTTGTTGGCTGAAAGTGGGGGTGTTGCCACCTCTGTCGGGACTGTGAACTTTGATAAAGAGCGTCTTGTTGTGGGTTTCACAAGGAGTGTATCAGCTGCGGTGAGTGCCATCATCTGCAGCAAAAGACTTATACGGGAGGAAATATACTTCCACGGGTTCAAAGGTACACTATTTAATCTCTTTCCCCTGGTCAGCATGGCTGATTTCTTATTGCAACTGCCTTTTAGGTACTTCGATGGGAATACAGGACTCTTTGCTGTCTCTACCCCCCCCTCAAAGTGATGTTGTTCTCCCTGTAAAGTGCCCTGGATAGTATTCATTGGGTTTTCAAGCACCGGGGACTTCTTTTGGATGAGATACACTGCGACTGCAGGCGCACCAGGGAGGAGTGTATGGATCAGGAGATCCCACTTCGCAGTAGTGATGCCAAGTTCACCCAATCGCCCTGCGTACTGTGCGTACAACAGGTTTACCCAGAAAGCATTCATGCACGCTGGCGCGGTGAGAAAATATTTTACGTATGGCGTATAGTTTGCGGCAAGTTGAAGCCCAATAATGGGATGCAGGTTAGCATACACCATGGTCAAAAAGTTGATAAGATCTCCTTCTCCTGCCTCCGTTGGGATACAGCTTAAAATAGTGAATAGTATCTCACCATCCGACTCGTCAAAGTACAAGCGCGTCGCAATATTGGAACACACACTGGAGTGAGACAGGTTACTTATTAACAATTGTCTGATGTACTGATGGATGGAAAGGTTTGATTCTCCTTCAGTTTGTGTTGACAGATGTTCGCCTTCTCCCACTTCTGGATTTACGGCTTTCTTCAGAGAAGCTGAATCTGGATACCACTTGGACGATTCGGCGCAAAGAGGCCTCACAAGAACAAGCTGTCGGACAAGAGACATGTATCCGATTAGCGCGGCAAGAGATAAAGCAGTTTCACCGTCGCCGGCATTGTGATACAATTCATGAGTTTCCATGAGATTGATAATGGTCATCGTAACCCTCAGAAGGGGCTGCACGGAGTGCAGTGAAAGGGTGTGCGGCGGCGCTTGAGGCAGACAGTCGCTCGACGCGCCCTGCGTCAGACCCTTCTGAGACTTGAAGCTTTCTGAGAGGAATGATAGGCTTTTATCGAGAATAGATGGTTCACCCTCTTGGGTGTTCGTTTGGTTTTGACTTCGGTGTTGCTGCAAGCCGCGGCTCAAAAAAAGCGAATGACGGTAAGCCTTCTTTAGAATAAAAGTAAGTAAAGTGTCTTGTGTGATTGGATGAACAATTGGTATGGCATTATAGCCTTTTGTACTCCGAACACGTTTGATTTCTTTGAGTATGTTTTTGAGCTGAGACGGGTTGTGTTCGGCGGTAATAAAAAGAAGCATAACGTGATAGTAATGCTGCAAATTCAGATCCTCATAGGGATTGTTGGGGGTGCAAACGGTATCCCCAAGCTCAGACGCGGTCACCAGGTTTTTTAACTGACTTTCGTTACTGTTGAATAATTTCGAACCTAAGGGCGAGAACACCATTGTCTTGGCATTTGGTTTGGACTCTAAATTTGATTGAAAATCTTGGGACATACCAAGAGGAGCGGTCCCTGTCGTCTGCACTGTATGGGATTTTACAGGTAACAAATGCTTTTCAGGTTTTGAAAAGCCGAGAGGATTACACCCTGGGATGCTACCTTCCCTTTTCATCAGTAGTGAACTCGTATCGGTCTGATGAATTAATGTATACATGCTGTCGTTTGAAAGTGTGACAGATCGCATTTTGAAGCGCGGCATGGATAGCATCGACATGACGTTAAGGGATAGACCGAAGTTATGTTGCTGCCATCGCTGAAAGAGCTCTGGATAATTTACTTGGCCTTCCTGAATGCCAATCTGGTTATGATTCTTCTTATGGCAGTCCAGGAGTAAGGTGGTGGCTCTCTCCCCGGCGTACCCATCGATAGACACCGCTAACATCCACGAGTCCAGCCCATTTGCATCAAAATGTCCACTCGCCGTAGCCCCATAGAGGAGGAGCTGCTCGCAAACTTCTAGAGCGTGAGCCATTCGGGATGGCATGGTGGCCATTTTCGAGGAATCCCCTTTCCATCCCTGCGAAAGGCCCCACCCGGGGCTCTGAGCCGCAGCTCGGGAGCCGTTCTCCCCTCGTGTGGGGCCCTCCCGAGAGGACCCCATCCCGTGCATCATCCCGAGCACCTCCTCAAGAGGGGTTCGTTGGAAGGCCTCCACAAACGCAGGCTCGACGTGGGCCACGAGGGGGCTCCCCAAGCGGGCCGCGCCCTGCCCCTCCCCCCCCCCCGCAGACCCCGACGGACCGCTCGGCGCGAGCCCCGGCGGCGGCCGCGGCGGGCACTTCAGGAAGGCCACCACCGTCGCGACGTGCAGGGTGCGCAGGGCGATGCGAAACGGGGAAAGCAGCCACTTGGCGTCGGTCTGGTCGTTGAGGTCCTTCAGGCGGGAGGCCCGCTGGGGAGGGCTGGGGCTTCGGTAGGCCGG